AAAAAAAAAAAAAAAAAAAAAAAAAAGAGTGAATCAGAAATAGAAATGCTCGGTTTGAAAAGACACCAAAGATAAGAAAAGACGAGCCATCTCAGTGGCCTGGTCAGTGCCAACACACAGTCCATCAAAACCATCGAGGCCTTTGCTGGTAGCCATGAGTAGGGGGTCAACTTCAGCTCCTCTCTACTGAGATGCACCTGAACTCACCTGCCATGGGTAAGAGCTGTGCGAGGCCATGCTGGACAAGCACCTCGGTGTGCTGTGGCCAGGAAAGAAAACCGAAACTGGTTTTGCAGCTTTGTGTCTTCAGTCATTCACAGAGGCACACTGGGTAGAATCCAGCCAGAAGACTCAGGGCCTCCTGGTACTCTGGGAATTTTTTTAATTTTTGTTTTAATCCACAAACGTGAATTTGGGGAATTACAACACCATTTGAGAGACTTAGCAGCAGGTGCTGGAGAGTTCAGTGTTTATGTTTAGATATACTTCAAAAATGAACATATTTCAGGAATAATAGGTAAAGGTTTTAGTTTGCTTTGAGATGGGGTCTTCCTAGGTAGCTCAGGCTGACCTTGAATTCATGATCTTCATGTGTCAGCCTCCCAAGGGCTAGGGTTACTGAGATTTCAGGGGAATGTGTCACCATGTCTAGCGCTAAAGAGGTTTTTGAGTGCATGATATGTTAACTCTCTTCTTAATTCTACAACTTTTTGATGGCTGTTTTGGATTCTTAAAAAATAGAGTCATCATTTGCAAAAGATTAATGACCATTTAGACCTCACTCCTATCTGGATCTCACTTACATTTTGAAAGGAAGAATATATCCAACAAACTTATTTTAACTCTAGACTCTCCATCCTGTAGGGCACTTATGATACTTTAACAAAGAATGCAAGCTAGCTTGCTGTGTTGTCCAAATTATTATCTCCCTAGGTCATATACACAGATCATAAAGATAGGAAGGCCTTACATTTTTATAGTAAATGGTATTTGAAACTGCATTTATATACTCAAATTTGCACTCTTCAAATTCATAAAAATATAAGCATGAACATGTCCCTTAAGAAGTATCATGTTCTAAGCTGGGCATGGTGGCACACACCTGTAATTCCAGCACTCAGGAGGCTAAGGCAGGAGGATTGCCACAAGTCTGAGGTCAGCCTGGGCTATATAGTAAGTTTGAGGCCAGCCTGGACTACACAGTGAGACAGTCTCAAACAAACAAACAAAGCCTCATGTTCTCATATTTTCAAATTTAAGTATCTTAAAAATCACTTTTTAGAAAACTAGATAAACCACACAGATACCACATAAAGGCTTGAGAAGGTTCCCGTGTCAGGAGAATCGGCAGCTGGCAGAGTACAGTGCACCATCAGGACTGCACAGCATTTCTGACAACACTTGGGAACATCTCTGAGAACCTAATTTTAAACACTGATGCAAATGGGATTACATGAAATTGCCACCGGTTCTTCCATGTGATCAAGGGACTTTTCTGAAAGCAAGAAGGGGCCTTCTATAATGCAGGTATTTACAGTAAGTACCTCTAAGAGATAGAAAGATACCTATTTTGGTAAAACATTTTGCATCTGCTGGAAGCTATAAATAACAAAGCAGTCTGACCTGAAAGATGAAGGCCTAGCCCTTGCAAAGGCCATGGAGCTCTGCCAGCTGCAAGATTCCTGACTGGCATTTAGAAGCAGCAATGGGAAATGAAAGGAGCTTCTCATCACAGGAAGAGCCCAGGGAAGAGACAGAGCTCCAATTGTATCCAATTCCATATTTAAAAATATATAACGTGGACAAAGGAGACCGGTTAGGGAATACCCATCAAACAATGCCTCCTACATTCAGGTGTGACTTTTTGGCCCTAGGCAGTTACTCCCAGTAACTATGGCGACCATGGTATAGGCTTTACTTGTGCTGTGTTTTCTGCACTATATTTTTTAAATTATTATGGGCCACAGGAAGGGAATATTGGATTGAGTGTATTTCATCAAACATCTACTTGCAAGTCTGCCAAGGGCTTTATTAACTGTAAGGACGCAGGGAGCCCAGTCTCTGTATTTTTAGTTGTAGCCAGTCACATGACATTTAGACCACTGCAACTGCCATCTAATCGGTGTCCCTGCATCCGTCCTTGCTTCATGCTTCACATCACATCTAACTCAACACAGCAGGCACAGCGATCCTCCCTAAGGGTGCTCAAATCTCATCACTGCAACTCTCTAGCTTCAGTGGCCAGCACACTTTAAAAAGCCCTAAATCCTTATCATGACCGAGGAGAGCCCTAATGAACTCTGGCCTCTTTGATAATAATCTCTCTTCCTTCCTGCTGCTTATTGCACCTTTGCTGTGGTGGACTCTTTTGCTGTCCCTTGATCATATCTGGTGGACTCCTGCAGTCCCTTGATTGTATCAGCCACCCTCCGGCAGAGCTTGAATGCCTTAGCACTTGTTGTACCTGTAAGTGATTTTCAATTACAGTCTTTACCCTCGAGCAATTTTACTGTAAAACCCTTTCTTTTCAGGGGAATTATTTTCTATACTTACAAAATGCTATGCTGTCTCTGGACAGAATATACCTACACATTATTATCTCTTATCCCTAGTTCCAAAGCTCATTGACAAAGTTGATACAAAATGAGGAAGACTGCCCACATTTTTATTTTGTGGCGAATAAGGGATTTTCCATTTCAAGTGTTTCTGTCTCCAAATTTAGTTTGCAAAATTCTCATTTCAGTAACTCCTCACCCACATGGCCCAAACTAAAACACCAATAGCGACGTGAACTAATAAACTTGCTTTCCATGTGCTGTGTGTGCTCTTTTGTGACCACTGAATGGTTTTTAGGATCACTCCAAGTCATATGAAACCACTTTGTGAAACTTTTAAGTTAGATGACTTTGCAAGTTACTGATTAAAAGACTAACATCTTGCCTCACAGTAAGCGGCCCAGGGAAGCCATGGGGAGAAAAGAGATCAAAATAGAATTAGAATTCATACTTGATGGCCTCAAGCTGATTTCTTCAGTCATTTGCAATCATAAGTGTATTTTAGTTTTGTGCACCTTAGGGAGTAGTGTTATGGAGGTAAAGTGGACATATGGAGAGACCCTGAGACTCCAGTAACAGAAGATCGGAGAGTTAGGAGAAAAGACTGGTACAGAATGAAAATGTAGGCTTGTAGATAATGCAGAAGGAAATGTTGTAAAACTACAAAAAAAAATTATCAAATATTTATTAGGTAAGTAAGTGTCGGCAAATGCCAAGGCTGAGGCGCTGGACCTCCTCTGATAGACTACTGCCATTTACACTGAAGCAGAATTTGAGCTACAGAACCCAGAGTCCTAGCATCAGAGACAAAATGTCATAGTGTTTATGAAGAACTCATGCAAAGATAAAAAAATCAATCCATCAATAACAGATCTTTCAACTCTGCAAGAGGACACTAAACCAAATCTGAACTGGAGGATGAGTACTAGGGTAACATCTGTGGTCCGAGGGAAATGTGCAAAGTGGGAAAAGCAAGGGGGAAAGAGCGAAGCTCTGGTCACCCAAGGTCATAGCCTGAAGACATTAGACACTTGGTGCTCCATCTCCAGAAGCGCATTTCGCAGAAATCAATTCTGAGCCAGTCTCAGGCTGTGAATCTGGAGGAAGAAAATCAGCTATCAGTGTGAGCTGGGCTATTTATGGCTGTGTCACCAGGGCAAGCCGCTGCAGTCTGTGAACCTGTTCCCTCATCTGTAAAGTCTCCAGACGAACACTCATTTCTTAAGAGCTATAAAAAGGATCAAACGAGAGCCTATTTACGAGTAGTTCGTAAACTCTGACTGAATCTTAAAATACCCTGAGGAATGGCAAAAGCAATGATGAAACCTGGACCCTGTCCCACAGGTTTAGACTGAGTTGTTCTAGGCTGGGCCTTGGCACCAGTGGATTCTCTTCCTCTTCTTTTCCTTCTTCTCCCTCCTTCTTCCTTTTTTTTTTTTTTTATATAGGGTCTCATTTGTAGTTCAGGCCCATCTTAAACCATGCCGGAACTCACAACAATCCTCCTGCCTCAGCCTTCTGAGTGCTGAGATTACAGGCACGGGCCATCACGCTTGGCCTGAAAGGTTCTAACAACACAGCCACTGCTACGAACCACAGACCTATTGCTAAGGCAGTGATTCTCAAAGTATCCTCAAGGATCACCCAGGGGTTGTGCCAAAATGCAGATTCAGGTTCAGCAGCAGAGAGCCTGTATGCCTGCATTTCTAACAGGCTCCCAGGTTTGTGGTGCTGTTCTCCGTTCCACTGAGTACAGCTAAGTACTACATGGCCACAAAGCACAGTGAACATGGTCATCTACTCTCTCTCCCCAAAGGAAAACTTTTAGTGACAGGGAGAAGGGTGGGTGGCACTTCAGCAAACCACTCTTACCTTCTGGTTAGGACTGTCTTCAGAATGGTTTATCTGGCTGGCACCAGGGACCGGAAGTGAGCAATGCTCAAGCATGGCTGGGGGGCAAGCATGGCACCACTGAGCACCTGAAATCAGCTCCCTCATTTTCAGCATGAGACACTTACATTGACTTCCTGGGCTCCGAAAAGCCACTACAGTGTCCCTTTGATAAAAACCACCAGATCAGGGTCTGCAGGTTTCCTTATCCTATCAAGTGCAGAAAGAATCATCCTGATGTCGCAAACAAATTGGCTACTTGCCCCTCCAATGGTGACCATCAGGTTCCTCCACCGGACGCAGTTATCACATCTCTAGCTGTGATAACAAGAGTTGTATTGAGCAGGATGTGGTCAAGCAGACCAGGAACCTTGGGCAACAGAATCTGGCTGACAAGCACATGGCAGTGCCCCCTCCATGTGATGAAGATTGGGATAAAGATTTGTGGGAACAAACTAGCACCCCAATTGTGTGGGGCACAGCCAGCTTTTGTATAAACAACAGTTCTGCTAGCAACATAGTTATGGAACGTTAAGTGTCTCTTTCTGCTCAAGTGTTCATTTTTTTCCTCCTTATTTAATTCGTGATAAAAATTGCCTGTGACTTTCAAACTGACAAGTACCTTATTTCCCCCTCCACTCTCTGAGTCCTCACTAATTTGATTCAAGAACCCTCATACTCAGAAGATCTTCTGAATATTCTGGTTTTATTTAGACTCTTCAGGCCATCTTGCTGCCTGAATATTTCCAACATAGATTAGATCTGTTTTTCTCCCTACATTCTGACTAGAAAATGTACAAACTGTCAAACTAGGTGTGGGCTATGCAGCGAAGACTGGGATGAAGAAGAGGAACGAGTGCACATGCAGAGAAGCGACATGCGTTACACCTATACTCAAAATCTGATGAAACTTCAAAGTTTAAATGTGTGAGGGCACTGGTGACTGCCCTGTGACGTGTGTAGCAGTTTAGATTTCTGAAACATGAAGGTTCTGTCTATTCTAGCACCTTATGTTCCCTTCCAGGGAGACTTCATAGCATTCTGAGACTAGTATCTGCGGGAGTTTGTTGTTTTGTTTGTTGTTGTGTTTTTGTCCTCTAGTGCTAGGGATCAAACCTAGGGCTTTGTGCATATCAAGCACATGCTGTACCATCGAGCTCCACCTCCAGCCTTTCAAGACCATTTTTGGTTGTTTTCAGCATTAATTTGGTTTAGTTTTTAAATTGTATAGCATGCAGCACTCGGGAGGCTGAGGCAGGAGGATTGCCAGGAATTTGAGGCCAACCTGAGCTACACAAGTGAGTTCAAAGCCAGCCTGAACTGCATAGTGAGACCTCATCTCAAAAACAAAACAAAACAAAACAACAACCAACAAATAAAAAAAAATCTATACAGCATGCAAAGAAATTTGGGATCTGGTATAGATAGGTAGGGACTTGGATCAAGCATATTGACAAATATTTCCAAAAATATTCTCTCTAGTGTTGTTTGCAGGTGGCAGGTAAGAAAGGGAATGAGCTTCTGAAGAAGGTCTCTTTCTAGGAGTTTTATACAAAACAAGGTACTGTCCTAATGAAGCATATCTGTCTGGTTGATTTAGTTCTAAACTCTAAAAAACAGGTCCAAGATAAGGCCCAGACAATCTTCTTTTTACTTGTAGCTGTGTGATCTTAAGTGAATGACTAGACTTTTTCTTCTGCACAGGGTGTAATACACTGGGGGGAAGGTAAAAAACCATATGCTCCCAGTTCTAATCATTTATGACTGTGCACTATAATCAACATGTCTCAATAAATGAACTTTCTTTTAAAGTTGTCGTACTATAGGAAAGTACAAAACTCTTTTGATTTTGTTTGTTTTCGTAATGACAGAACACAACTATCTGTACCACACTTGTATTCAGGATATCCTAACTAGCTTAGGAAAATCAGGTTAAGAAGTGTGAATCTTATTGCAATACAAATCGACAGAGAAATCAAATAGAAAATAGTTACCTTGTGTTTTTTAAGTATCTAAAGGAGCAAGGTAAGCTAATGTGTATCATTCATGAAAACTCCTGCTACTTTGGGAAGGCATCTCTTTGCTTATGACTAGAACTCAATCACAAAACATGGTATGTTTAGGAGTGTGAGCAATACCCACTATAGAACAGTGCCTGCCTATTTTAATTTTGGTAGCTCACAAAATAGTCCTATTTTTCTTTAGTTTCCTTTAGCTGCCAGTTTGTCTGGTTCACAAACTTTAAGAGACTGATTAGACTTTTTATGGGGCCTAGGATTTACTAGTCTACATTTAGTTTGCCAAAAATGTTTGGAGATTCCTGAAAGCTAGTACAAAGAAATGGCTCTTTATCCCTACCACTTCTGTCAGAAATTGGGAGAAGCAGCTTATCTTTGGGGCCCTCTTACTTTTCTTTGGGACCCTGTTTTTCAGAGGCTCCGCTTCCTTTAGGCTGTGAACAGTGCAAGGTAGGCAGTTGAATATTCTGCCTCAGTTTTGGTTAAAATCAAGTGCTATGGTTCAAGGTGGAAAAGGTTTCAAAAGCTTAGCCTCAGGGGGTGAAGGGAGGGCAGGGACAAGGGGAAAAAATGAGAACCAAGACCTGTCATTTAAAGGTACAAGATCCCAATGATGAATGTAACTGTACTGTATACCTAAAATGTACCAAGAAACTCAGTAAGATAAAAAAAAATTTTAAGAAAAAAGCCTCAAAGAGCTAAGTTCTTCATCTGGTCTTATCTGGGGCTTCCACATTCTACCCCAAGGAAAAGATTTGCTTTTGTAGGAAATTGCCTTTCCCGCCAAGGGTTCTAGAAGTGCCACTGTGATTTGCAAATGTTCTAACTGGAAATAAAGAAATGGAGATGATAAGTTTTGCTCCCCTGGTAGCCATATCTGAGCTAAAAAGGGAGAATATTTGGATTTAATTTCAAATAATGCACTGTAGTACTCTTTTATTGGTGAGATAAAATAGTAGCTGCTTGTGTTGGTGTCTTAGGCAAAATATATTCAGCATATATTATGCTGGCATTCTTGGAGTCCTTTGCTTATTCTTTTCACAATTCGTAGGCAAAAAGAACATTTTACTTTTTTAAAGGGGCAGATTGTGGTGGCACATACCTTAATCTTAGTGAAAGGGAATTTCTTTTTTTTGGTACTGGGGATCGAACTCGGGTCCTTGTGCTTGTGAGGCAGGCGGCAGAACCACTGAGCTAAATCCCCAGCCCTCAAAGGGAATTTCTAGGCAGATGGATATATTTCTAACAAAAAAAATAACTAAATTGGACAACTACGAGTCAACTGTTATTAAACAACTATCTGTTAACTAGGTAACTACGCTCTTTGAAGAATGTACCTGAGCAGCCATGACAACTTCTATTATTTGTCACCACAGGAGCATAACAAACTCAGAAAACCCTGCTGGAACTCTTTGCTCTGCCCACCTCAGCTGCTCTGCTTTGTGTAATTTCTGCTTCTGCTTCTGTACCTCCTGCTTGCAACCCTGTAAGACTACCGGCCCACGAATATTCTGGGCCTGACTTCTTTGGGAGAGATCCCAGTCAGGTCTATCGACGTCATAAAAGAGTTGTACACTGCCTCTTGCCTCCCTGGGTGTCTTCCTTTCCTGGATTCAACATTAGCACTGGGGAGGCAGAGGGAGGCAGAGACAGGAGGATCACCTTGAGTTCAAGGCCAGCCTGCACTAAAAACTGACACCCTGTCTCACCTCTCCCCAAAATAAATAAATAAAACAAAGGCAGGTTATTAAAATCAAGGCAATTTATAGCTGGGTGTGGTGGTGCACGCCTCTAATCCCAGTACTCTGGGAGGCTGGATCACAAATTCCAGCCCAGCCTGAACAACTTAGAAACTTAGGGAAACCCTGTTTCATAAAAGGGCTGGAAACGTAGCTCAGTACAAAGGCCCTGGGTTAAGTTCTGGGTACCACATGCCCACATGCACACACACATGCATGCACACACACACACACGCACGAGCAATTTGTATACTATGTATTTTTGGTTTTGGTGGTGTTTCTGTTGTCTTATTGTTTGTTTTTGAACTAAGTATTGAACCCAGGGCTCCACGTATGCAAGCCAGACACTACCACTGAGCTGCACTTCTATTTCTTTGTCCTATATTTTAAATTACCAAAGCTAGTCTGGCCTTAAGAAGAAGAAATCTTTAAGAAAATACAACTTTTATATGCCAATTCAATGGGTAGAATAAGGAAAAAAACTGCCTAAATTCCACGAGAAAAATACTGCAGCAACAATACTGTCACTGTCTTCCTGATACTGTTAAGGTTCCGGCACATTCACATCCTATTTTACAGACTGGCCTCTCCAGAGACCACCGAGGATGTTTCAACCTGTCACCTCACACCAACAGTCTCAGCTGGCTTTCTATTCAAGCCACACTGCGATCTGATTAATACAAACCTGCATATAAACAGGGCATTTGCCTTTTACACAGCAATTCTATTTCATTTAACTCATAAACTGAGTAACTATAAGACAACTATAAAATCTAGATTAGTATACAGCTAGGAGGAACAGCATCCTAAGCCACACAATAACCCTCGAGAACGGTCAGCAGATTTGTATTGGTATTTACCTTACTGAAAGACAGTTTTGCCAGGTATGGTGGTACATGCCTGTAATCCCAGCACTTGGGAGGCTGAGTCAGGAGGATCCCTGGGAGATCAAGACCATCCTGGGCTATATAGTGAGTTCAATGCCAGCCAGCACTACACAGCCAGACCTGTCTCAAACAACAATGCCAGGGATTGGGGTCAGTGGTTCTGCTGCCTGCCTCGCAAGTGCAAAGGCCAGAGTTCGATACCCAGTACCAACAAACAAACAAACAAACAAACAAACAAAACAACAACAACAAAAGACAGTTTTAAGACAGCCATGGTTGCACATGCCTGTAATCTCAGCTATTCAGGAATCACAAATTCAAAGCCAGCCTGGCAAATGTATCAAGACCCTGACTCAAAATAAAAAAATAAAAAGGGTTGGGCATGTAACTCAGTGAGAAGATCCTTAGTTCAAACCCCAGCACCACAAAAATAAATACTGTTTCATGTGAAACTAAAATAGTGTAAGAGACTTTGAGGAA